TGTGGACGTAGAATGAGCGGAAACAAGCCCAGAAAGTGTAGTGGAAGCGCAGTAAGAACGGGAGAGGCACGTATGGAGAGCCCAATGAGCGTACAGCAGTCGCAAACCAGTCGCAGGGGACGATTTCTGCTACCCCAAGTTGCTTCTATGCGTTGTTGCTACATCCACGATGTAGTTCGCTTTGCGCTGTCACGGCGACTGTACTGAGTCATTACACCGCTCATTACAGAGCGCCGACCCGCTGCGCTTGTTTTGATTCGGACCAACACAAGCGCCGAGGTTTGGCGCTCAAGGTAGCTCATGGCGACCCTCTTCCGTCCTTGACAGTTTCCACTGCGTCTCAACCAATTACCAACTCGTTCTCAGATACCTTACTGCGCTTTTCCTCGCGCTTTCATACTTTTCAGGTCGCAGTGGGAGCGCGAACGTGATCGCGGGAAGGTGTGACAGGGGTATTAAAAACGTGTGACAAGTCTGGTATGCCTATAAATAAACACAAAGCTAATACTTATATTAATCATGGAATAAATTGAACACAATTAAAGGCCTGTCCAAACTTGTAAGGACCTGTTCCATTTGTCTAAGGGCCTGCTATAATTTTGGGTGGTCCTGGTTCACATTTTGGCTAATTTCTTGCCCTGTACGCATCGTCGGTAGTGTAGCAACGGCGCTACTACTGGCTCGCCTTGGTGTTAACAAGTCAATAAAATTGGCGTAACGTGGCGTTTCATCGATGGGGCAAAGCAGCCCGAGAATAAAAGTAAATTAAATGAAAATGAAAACACGAACTTTCAGAGGAGATGTGCCTTGAATTTCTGAGAAACGCGATCAATGAATTACATGTGTAGTTAAATCAATGGTGTTTTTGTGTTTTTTCACTATTGTTTGACAAGCATTTTTGTTTTAAAATTTGGGGCGAGTACAGATTTCTCCTGGGCGAGTTAACTTATTGACTCACTCGCCCAGTTTGGCGAATGGTTTTTATTTTAAAGCTCTAACACTGCCGGGGCAGTGAGACGCTCTATTTATGTCCGGGGGCGCCCTTGTAAACACATCGACACGCGTGTTTAACTCATGCCTGCTTACAAAATATCTCACACGCCCACTAAGCAGAAGCGTTAGTGATAACGTCACGATAACAGCACGATGACTCAAAGAATGGAGTTAAAAACAGCATTTAAAAAAATGTCAAAGCTTTCAAATCTGCAAAACGTTTTTTTATGCAACATAATCTAGTATAAATTTCCACACAACATAATTCAAATACATAATATAGAAAATGTTTTTAGTCGGAGCTGATTGCTAGTTCAACGGTCCAGTTTATTCAGGGTAAACTCTATTATACCTTTATGTAATGAAATGATACAAACACAAATATAATGAAATTATTCCGCAAACACTGTCACTGTGTGCCTGTTACAACTTTTTTCTGAACATTCAACAAAATTTCATGTGTACATGCATGTATTCTGTTCCTGGTAACACTAATGACCATCAAGAAATGGAAGATTAGTTTCTAGAGGGCCTCACAAAGCGGAGAGCAATCATACAAGGTGATAGCAACGACCTGGCTCCCAAGTGCTGAACTGTTGGAACAATTATCAGTGCTGTTTTTGGCAGAAAGATCAAAGGTAGAGGACTTTCTAGGAAATAATGACATCATTCTATAAATATGCTTGGCAGGATGGAAGCTGTGTGCGCAACATTGGTATTTCTCAAGGGAGCTCTCAGAGCATCCCTCGATGGCTATAATCATGTGAGATTTTGAACGTCCTTGTCGAACTAGTTTGCCTCCTACAGTCTTCGTAGGTCCACTTAAGTAGTTTTAAAGTACATAAACATATTTGTGATAGACACGAGTTCTTATGTTGCTTACCAATTCACCGTTTTGCCAACATATAATCTAAAATCACTGAAGAGACAGAGACAAAAATACACAAACAGACAAACAGACACTCACAGACAGACAGATGGACAGACAGACAGTGACATACACATTGACAAACGATAGACAGACATCGAAGGATTGCCTGGGTTCCTATACCTGGGTTCCTAGAAATTAACTCAGCGCGTAATGACCAGAATGATGTACAATAAGCAACCGATTTCAAGCCTAATGCTGGTGAAACATTTCCCAATACTTCGCCACCCTACTGAACTTTACTGCCGAGTTGCTCTATACTGAAGAGAAGCACCGGTGCTGATTTGCTCTGTTTACCTTCACTTACTCCTAGCAGTAGCAACATAGATTCTAGGAGCCGAAAAGATAATGTTCCATGGATACACCTGGAGCGTTGCTAGGTAGATTAGGAATGAAATGCTCAACATCCGGTCAAACTTATGATTACAGGAACAGTAGGATTGGGTACATTGCTATTCGATTAAAATCCCCTGTCGCAGGAAATGTTGAACAATGCGCTGCCTAATTGATCTGCCCTCCCCCCCCCCGAGTTATTTTATATCGACACCCAAGACTTTAATTGACGAAGACTAGTTGTGACACAAATTCACACGTATATTCCCGTAGTAAATTATCCTTCAAAATATTACGCCCAGCTTACCTTTCTCAGGCGTGCGTGTTGGGCTGGACATGACGGACGATCGGGATGAGCTTTCCGATGCAGATCGCCTCTGCTTCCCCTCTGGCTTTCCATGGTGAGACAAAACCTTCTTCTTGTGTTCCTGAAGCAGATAAAAGAAAACGGTAATATATGCAGAGATGGGAGAAGCTGGACGCAGGAAGGGAGAGGGAGAGAGAGAGAGAGAGAGAGAGAGAGAGAGAGAGAGAGAGAGAGAGAGAGAGAGAGAGAGAGAGAGAGAGAGAGAAACACATCACATAAAACCTAGGTAGAGCCTTTGGCTTTCTATCTTAGTTAACATTCTAATCATTCAATACACATTACACAGTTAGCCTTTGCGTACCCATTTACCAATTCTAATCATTCAGCACGCATAATTCAGTTAGCTTTTGCCTTCCTGTCCTAGTGACCAACCTAAACAGTCACTTGCACATTACCCAGTTAGTGCTTGCATTTCTATCCTACAAGGGGATTGACCTTTTTAACTCACACTGTTTAGCCTTTTTAACTCTTCCCTACACAGATAAATCCTAAGAAACTCACAGGAACACAAACATGTTCAAGTAGTGCCTTTTCAATACTTTCTGGATATTCAGTAACAACAGACGAAACATGGGTACATTTTACTATTACATATTCAAAGGTCATGTACGTATCCTAACATTTGTCATAACTTTGTCGTAGACTTATAGTGTTTATTACTGTATTTCACATATAAGATGCCCTCATACTACTCTACCACACTATTCTAACAAATGTTGTTTTTTAAATGCACTGTCTATCTAACATCCGGCAGCAGTGTTGTCACCTACCTGTATGTGGTACTGGGTTCGTCGATCTGTTGGCCTCTTCTGTATACCTTTTACCTCTATCTTCTCAACAAACACTGTAAAAGTAAGTAATATCAGTGATCAACACACAAGCTTTCCGGTAACAAGCACTACTTAAATATAGATTGATACATAAATACAATAGAATACATAATCATACATAGTAAAAGGTACATAATATCAAGAGTAGATAATAACACATCTGTTATTATGTGTTATATATAATGTTATTATAATGTGTTATTATCTACTCTTGATAATATTCATAACCTGATTATTAAATAGTAAAAAACATGGGTACAATGTGATATGTGACCGCATAATATAGATACAGCATAGATAACACATAAGTGCAATACTATTATTACATAGCACTTCATAAATACGAGTCCATACAAGTACAACATGAGGATTCCAATTTCCATGGTACACAGAGTCATAAGTATAATAAACAGAGTCCATAATAAACAGTACTACACAACACCTCACACATACAAATCTTGACCACTGTGTTAATACGTGGATCCTGAGCGTAGGACCAGTACTTACGAGCGGGGAGGACAGAAACTCGACGTGTTTACAAGAACACACACCACTTTTATTCTGCCACTCATGACGTCACCTCACTTACCAAGGCTTCCTGGGTATTCGCGGCTGATATTACTACGCGCATCAACATCCCCTTTTCTTAAAGTTTTTTCAGAACAGTTCAATCTTCTTATAGTCATCAGTCACCAACACCTTCCAGTTACATACTGTTAACATTTCAAATTAAAGAAACTTAGCACTAAGACAAATCCAATCTTAACCTTTATAAACTATACAGCGCAGAAACGCTGTTTAGAATTTCATCATCTCCATCCTGCACAGACAACTAATCTTCTGAACACAGCGTAGCCTGTGGCATAAATTGCCACACATTCCAAATGAAGAAATAACAAGCTCTCAAATGAGAACAGTCAGAACACTAAAAACAAATTCTCTCTATCAGTTATCAGTCCATTCCTTAGTGAATGTCACTAAACTGCCAACCAGAGAACCGGGTACAACATGAGTTGCGCAAAATGATGCGTTGTTCCCCGACCGCCAAACGGTTAAAACCGCCGCACTTCGCGGCACTGGCGCACGCGACCGCGCGGTGTGTTGTAATGTTAGCATTTCGCCGCTGCCCCGCTATACGAATTCGCGCGCGGAAGGAAGGGCCGGACTCGCGCGCGAATCGTGTAGAGCGGGAAAGCGTAATCATCGCGCGTTTCGTCACACCTACACGCGGCTCGGCTACGCGGGCACTTTGCTGCTGGCCTGCTTGCGTCTGAAGGGTCTTATGTCCCCCCGCGCGGTACTGCGGGGAAGTACCATGGGTACGGCCGGTATACCGGAACGTAACCTGGCACTATCTAATATGCCGCGACCGTTACCTCGCTACTCCACTAACGAGTCTAGGGAGTCGCCTACGCCTAACTCCCTAACCCTGAACCCTAACCGCCTAATCCCTAACCCTAACCCTAACCATTTATCAAATAAGTGACCAGCAGTACGTTCCGGTATACGCGACCGTACCCAGGGTACGTTCCGGCAGTACCCGCTGGGGGACATATAGACCTTATGAGCGGTTCCGCTTGTTGCGCGCTGCGCGGCAGGGGCGAGTATTTGTTGCTGCGGCTGCTTTTGCAGCGTAATCTCAACAGATAGCTTACGTGTAAACAACTGGCAACGGCCACGCCACCACGTGCTCGCAAGTAATTCCGCCCGGCCAGCGGAAATTTTTTGTCCGCAAACGCTATAACAATAGCAAGATATAGGCATCTTCTGATTGGTTGTATCGATTTTCTTTGCCTTTTGACAAGAGAACAAATGCCCATTTGTAATGTCTTGATTTCGGCGTTTTATGGACCGCTAGATAATGTACGTTTTCTGATGTATCTCCCAATGAAACATATCTTTTCTCTATTAAATATAACATATAGATACACTATAATTGCAATTCTTTCAGGGAAAATGTGTTATTTTCATACTCAAATCTTAATGTTATAGCGGGTCTGGGCTCTCGCTAATACTTAGCATACGTACGTATGTACACCGCACGTCGTAGTGCTTCGTCGCAAGGATCGAAGAAGGCGAAGGCTACGACAGTACTACTAGAGTAGGACGGACTTATAGACTAGGGGCTACGCACAGTACTAGAGCTATACGTACTCGTACTCGTTGACGCTAGTAGTAGTAAGTAGTATTAGCAGGTACGTTAGTAGTCGTAGTACTAGTAGCTAGCCTAGTGTTTAACCCCTGAGGTCAGCTGAAACGTAATAATCGGACCACACGGTACGAACTATAGTCCGAGCGCGACGCAGGACGCCCAGTAACTGGATAAACCGCACCCTCACATTACGAAACAAAAGGCGAGTTATAACGTCTTGCATTTGCGGACTAGCGACCAACAATGAACAGAAATTCGCAGTATAACTATAAGTATAGCCTAGACCCTTCATCAACTTAATGGATTAAGATGCAAATAACACACTTTGCACAAAGAATTCTGCAATCTATTACTAATATTATATGTTTATCAATAATGAGTAAAATAGGGTCTTTCATGAAATACATCAGATGACTTATCCAGTACTTTATTAGCGGTCATAAACCAAAACCAAACATTTAACAAAACGGCGTTGTTCTGTCGTCTTGAAGGTTTTGTTCAGTCAAGCAATCAGTCATAAACGGCTGTGATATTTTGGGTTAATTCACTGGAAACTCATGTTTTTTTAAGGAAACATACTAACAAACTACTTTAACCTCACTTACAGAAAGTTCGGGAAAGTTTTTTGGTAGATAATTGGGGATTTTGGCTACAGTCATGGAGGCTGACATCTTGCAAAATTCCAAGCCAATCCAAAAGAAGGCGCCTAAAATTCCTATCTTCGCGCTCGGCGCACGGAGAGCGTGGTGGTCGCACACGTGGCGTTGCACTGCAGCGTCTCTGGGGGGTAGGAGTTGCCGAAAAACATCGGACGTACGGCAGCCAGCCAGGCGCGCG